AGGAAGTTAAACTTCAACCTTTGGTAACCACAAATCTAAAGTCTGCAATGGCAGTAAGTACATACCTATCAATAATTACCCTAAATGGAAATGGTCTGAATGCACCAAATGACATAGAGTCACTGAATGGATTAAAAAAAGAAGACCCATCTGTATGCTGCCTACAACAGACTAACTTTAAGCCCAAAGACATACACAGACTGAAAGTGAAGCAATGGAAAAAGATATTTCATGCAATTAACAGAAAAAAGCAGGAGTTGCAGTACTTGTGTCAGACAAAATAGACTTCAAAACAAAGAAAGGCACAAGAGATAAAGGATATTACATAATGATGAAGGGGTCAATCCAACAAGAAGATATAACCATTATAAATATGCTCACAACAAAGGAGCATCTACATTTGTGAACCAAATACTAACAGAATTAATAGGGGAAATAGAATGCAATGCATTTATTCTAGGAGACTTCAACACTCTACTCACTCTGAAGGACAGATCAACCAGACAGAGAATAAGTAAGGACACAGAGGCACTGAACAACACATTAGAACAGATGGACCTAACAGACGTCTACAGAACTCTACAACCAAAAGCAGCAGAAAACACGTTCTTCTCAAGTGTGCATGGAACATTTTCAAGAATAGATCATATACTAGGTCACAAAAAGAGTCTCAGTAAATTAAAAAAGATTGAAATTGTACCAACCAGTTTCTCAGACTAAAGAGGTATGAAACTAGAAATTAGTTATGCAAAGAAAATGGAAAAATCCCACAAACAAATGGAGGCTTCACAACATGCACCTAAATAACCAATGGATCAATGACCAAATAAAAACAGAGATCAAGCAATATATGGAAACAAATGACAACAATAATTGAACACTGCAAAATCTGTGGGATGCAGCCAAGACCGTGCTAAGAGGAAAGTATATTGCAATACAGGCCTACTTCAGAAAAGAAGAACAGTCCCATATAAGCAGTCTAAACTCACAATTAATGAAACTAGAAAAAGAAGAACAAATGAGGCCCAAAGTCAGAAGAAGGAGGGACATAATAAAGATTAGAGCAGAAAAAATAAAATTGAGAAGAATAAATCAATAGAAAGAATCAATGAAAGCAAGAGCTGGTTCTTGAGAAAATAAAATAGATAAACCCCTAGCCAGACTTAACAAGAAAAAAAGAGAGTCTACACACATAAATAGAACCAGAAATGAGAAAGGAAAAAGTCACTACAGACACCACAGAAATACAAAGAACTATTAGAGAATACAATGAAAAATTATATGCTAACAAACTGGATAGCATTGAAGAAGTGGACAATTTTCTAGAAAAATACAACCTTCCAAGGATGAACAAGGAAGAAACAGAAAATATGAACAGACCAACTACCAGCAATGAAATTGAACTGGTAATCAAAAACCTACCTAAGAACAAAACCCCTGGACCAGATGGCTTGACTGCTGAATTTTATCAAACATTTAGTGAAGACCTAATACCCATTCTCCTTAATGTTTCCAGAAAATAGAAGAGATGGCATACTTCCAAACTCATTCTATGAGGCCAGCATCACTCTAATACCGAAAAAAGGCAAAGACAACACCAAAAAAGAAAATTACAGACCAATACCCCTGATAAACATAGATGCAAAAATACTCAACAAAGTATTAGCTAACCGAATTCAGAAATACATGAAGAAGATCATCATCATCAAATGGGATTCATCCCAGGGATGCAAGGATGGTACAACATCCAAAAATCCATCATCATCATCCACCACATCAACAAAAAGAAGGACAAAAACCACAAGATCATCTCCATAGATGCTGAAAAATCATTTGACACAATTCAACATCCATTCATGATAAAAACTTTCAACAGAATGAGTATAGAGGGCAAGTACCTCAACATAATAAAGGCCATATATGATAAACCCACAGCCAACATTATACATAACAGCGAGAAGCTGAAAGCTTTCCCTTTAAGACCAGAACAATACAAGGATTCCCACTCTCCCCACTTCTATTCAACATAGTACTGGAGGTCCTAGCCATGGCAATCAGACAACACAAAGAAACACAAGGCATCCAGATAGGCAAAGAAGAAGTTAAACTATCCCTGTTTGCAGATGACATGATATTGTACATATAAAACCCTAAAGACTCCACTCCAAAACTACTAGATCTAACATCTGAAATCGGCAAAGTTGCAGGATACAAAATTAATACACAGAAATGTGTTGCATTCCTATACACTAACAGTGAAATAGCAGAGAGAGAAATCAGGAAAACAATTCCATAAGAATAAAAAACTAGGAATAAACCTCACCAAGGAAGTGAAAGACCTATACTCTGAAAACTACATGACACTCATGAGAGAAATTAAAGAGGATACCAATAAATCGAAACACATCCCGTGCTCATGGATAGGAAGAATTGATAATGTCAAAATGGCCATCCTGCCTAAAGCAATCTACAGATTCAATGCAATTCCTGTCCAAAATACCAACAGCATTCTTCAACGAACTAGAGAAAATCGTCCTAAAATTCATATGGAACCAGAAAAGACCTTGAATAGCCAAAGCAATCCTGAGAAGGAAGAATAAAGCTGCAGGGATTATGCTCCCCAACTTCAAGCTCTACTACAAAGCCACAGTAATCAAGACAATTTGGTACTGGCACAAGAACAGACCCATAGATCAATGGAACAGACTAGAGAACACTGATATAAACCCAAGCATATATGGTCAATTAATATACAATAAAGGAGCCATGGACATACAATGGGGAAATGACAGCCTCTTCAACAACTGATGTTGGCCTAACTGGACAGCTACATGTGAGAATGAAACTGGATTATTGTCTAACCCCATACACAAAAGTAAACTCAAAATGGATTAAAGACTTGAATGTAAGTCATGAAATCATAAAACTCTTAGAAGACAACATAGGCAGAAATCTCCTGAACATAAGCATGAGCAACTTCTTCCTGAACACATCTCCTCGAGAAAGGGAAACAAAAGCAAAAATGAACTTATGGGACTACATCAAACTAAAAAGTTTCTGTATGGCAAAGGACACCATCAGCAGAAGAAAAAGGCATCCTACAGTATGGGAGAATATATTTGTAAATGACATATCCGACAAGGGGTTAACATCCAAAATATATAAAGAACTTACATGCCTCAACACCTAAAAAGCAAATAACCCGATTAACAAATGGGCAGAGGATATGAAGAGACAGTTCTCCAAAGAAATTCAGATGGCCAATAGACACATGAAAAGATGCTCCACATCACTAATCATCAGGGAAATGCAAATTAAAACCACAATGAGATATCACCTCATACCAGTAAGGATCGCCACCATCCAAAAGACTAAGAACAACAAATGCTGACGAGGATGAGGATAAAGGGGAACCCTCCTACACTGCTGGTGGGAATGTATGCAAGTTCAACCATTGTGGAAAGCAATATGGAGGTTCCTCAAAAAACTCAAAATAGAAATACCATTTGTCCCGGGAATCCCAATCCTTCAAATTTACCCAATGAATACAACTTCTCAGATTCAAGAAGACATATGCACCCCTTTGTTTATCAGAGCACTTTTTACAATAGCCAAGATATGGAAGCCACCTAAGTGTTCATCAGTAGATGAATGGATAAAGAAGAGGTGGTACATATACACAATGGAATACTATTCTGCCATAAGAAAGAAAGAAAGAAATCCTACCATTTGCAACAACATGGATGGAGCTGGAGGACATTATGCTCAGTGAAATAAGCCAGGCGGAGAAAGACAAATGCCAAATGATTTCCCTCATTTGTGGATTATAACAATGAAGCAAAACTAAAGGAACAAAATGGCAGCAGACTCAGAGACTCCAAGAAGGAACTAGTGGTTACCAAAAGGGTGTGGTGTGGGAGGGCGGGTGGGGAGGGAGGGAGAAAGGGATTGAGGGGTATTATGTTTAGTACACATGGTATGGGGTCTAGGGGGAGAACAGTGTAGCACAGAGAAGGTGCATAGTGAATCTGTGGCATGTTGCTGCACTGATGGACAATGACTGCATTGGGGTATGGGTGGGGAATTGATAATATGAGTAAATGTATTAACCACATTGTTTTTTATGTGAAACCTTCATAAGAGTATATATCAGTTATACCTTAATAAAAATTTACAAAGTAAGAAAAAAAATAAACATGCCACAAGATTTTAAAAAATGAGTTTCTGAATATAGTATTGGTTATTGATTTTACTAAAATTAAAAAAAATTCTGTTGATATGGTTATGTATTTGTGTATGTGCATCTAAATGTGGGTTGTATGTATGTAAGTTATTTGCACTTTATATAGCTATACTTCTAAAGTTTTAAAAATTTGAATGTTATTTTTCTTTAAACTGGAAGATAAATGACTATCTTACTTAGTCTTTTCTTTTTATTGAATAGCACTCTGTATTGCATATGGTAGGCAGTCTATATGTGTTTGACTTAGGCTAAATGCACTTACAGACTAGGTCCTATAATTTAAATTTATGAACCAAAATTTATAACCATAGTGGTGAGTTCTTTCCATATATTGGGGGAGTAATTAAGTTGTTAGGCATATTTTCAGTTCACATAAACCATGGTTATTGAAACCAGTGCACTTGATATTAAGGATGGTTGTGGCCACTGTAGGCAGATTTTAAGCAAGCTTAGATTTTTTTTTAAAAGTACTTTAGGTACAGAATATGAAAGTAAAATATATTTAGTTGTTTCAAGACTCTTTTAAAATTTCTTAGAAGGATGGTGCTACAGTGTTTCTTGATCAAGAAATGCATCTTTGAGATTGGTCAAAATGAATGTTTAATAATTCTTTAATGTTGATTCTAGACATGAAGAAGCAACAGAATTGTTTTCTCCTCTAATGAGAAGAAAACAAGTTTTCCAGAAATAAAAGAAACTTGAGAACTCTTCTCCCCATTTTTGAGTATTTAGTGAATGTGGTATTTGTGTCTCGTAGAATGGAGATGTATGCATTTCAATTCTTCATCCACCTGTAGATGACCCACAGAGTGGAGAACTGCCCTCTGAAAGGTGGAATCCTACTCAGAATGTCAGGTAAGGGTTTACATAAGGAATAATCTGTTTTTTAGGTGGTTCTTAAGATTGGATATTATCTTTTAACAAGAACAGAAGAATCCTATGTTTGGTATTTTGTCGTCTTCTAGTTTTAAGTAGCATGTATGTGCCGTTTTGATGAGTTCTTTTAAATTTTACAAAATGCATAATATTACTCATTTCATTGTGCTCACCTTGTAAGAATTTTTCTAGTCTGATTTTTCCCATTTATACATCTGAGTTCCATCCTGCTGCTTCAGATCTCTTGACTTCCACATTTGGATTGGTTACTTCCTTATTCTAGGATTCTTACTACTTTTTGCAGAAAATTTCTTAGGTCTTTACAAAATCAAAATTGATTTATATACAATTTTCAAAAGAGCTTTAATTATCTCTTTTTTTTACATATGTATATATATGTGAATGTTATGATTTGGAAGGCTTGTATATCTCTTTAGATTTCCTTTGATTATTCATCTGTTGATTTATCTATATTAATATCTAAATTAATCTCTATTAATCATGTTTATATAGAGTTATGGCCTGTATGTGTGTGGGCTGGTCACTTAATCCCTTAAAAGAATTTTCAAGAACTATGTATGTACTCTGTTGCATGTTTTTAAACACGATTTTTTACATCACAAATTTATGAATGCAAGAAGGAAAAAATATAATTTTTAGCTACTATTTACATATTATTATCCCTACTAAGTTTTATTTATATTGTTTAAATGTTTTTCTGCAACAAAAAGTAATTAAATATTTTTAAATTATTTGTGACAGAAGGCTCTATTTATTTCTATATTGAATTATTAATAAACAGTTACACTTGTATACTTTTAACATTTTGTTGAATCATTTTTATGTTTAATAATCACTAGAAATGTATTTTTGATCACATTTGTTTTGCAGTTAGTTTATATATCCATGAATAATTATTACATTGCTAGAATGAGGCAGAAATAACAGCTTTAATACATATATATGTACATCTGTATATATTAGTAATGTACATTATATACAATAAGTATATTTGTCCTTGTGTGTATATATATATATATACATACATATGTAGTGTGTATACAGAATGTACATTATATACAATAAATATATTTGTCCTTGTGTGTATATATACCTATGTACATACATATGTAGTGTGTATACAGACACACACAGATATTAGATACAGTGATTAGGAAACTTTATTTATATATGAACGGAATAAAATTTCTAGGGCAGTGAAACTAAATCCTTTTCATTCCTTCTGAGTTATTTGGCAGAGATCACATAGTGATCTATTGTAAGTCTTTTAACAAAAGAAGTAATAGTTTTATTGAAATACAGTTTCCATACCAGACAATTCTCCCATTTCAAGTGTACAGTTCACTGGTTTAACATACAGAGTTGTACAACCATCAGCACAATTTTGGAGTATTTTCATCACCCCTAAAGAAGCCCATACCTATTAGAATTTACACTAAAATATCCCTTAAACCCCATCTCACCCCTCCACCTGAAGCCCTAGGAAACCACCAATCTGCTTTATACAATATGTAGTATTTTGTAACTAGCTTCTTTTACTTAGCATATTTTCAAGGTGTGTTCTTTTAGTATATAGAATACTTCATTTTTATGGTTGAGTAAACAGTTTATCCATTCATTAGTTGATGGACATTTAGGTAGTTTCCATTTTTAGGGTGTTACGAATAAATACTGCTGAGAATATTGTAAGTTTTTACATGTTTATGTTTTCATTTCCTTAGATATATACCTGGGAGTGTAATTGCTGGGTCAGATGGTAACTCAATGTATAACTTTTTGAGGAACTGCCAGACTGTTTTCCAGCATGGCTGCACTCAGTAATATATTCCCACCAGTAGTATGTAAGAATTCCAGTTTTTCTACACTTCATTAACACTTGTTTAAATGTCTGTGTTTTTGTTGTGGTTTTTGTCATCAGTGCTTTTTAAAAATAACTTGAAATTTTAGATCAGTTTTAGATTTTCAGAAAAATTGAGAAGTATGGATGGTTCCCATATACCCAACACCTGCCAGTTTTGTTACTAACATCTAACATTAAGTGTAATAAATGAACCATACTAGAAAAACAACATTACTATGTTATGAACTACAGTCTGTACTGTATTTTGGATTTCCATAGTTTTTACCTAATGTTGTTTTTTCTGCTCCAGGATCCCATGCATGATACCAAATTATATTTAATAGGCATGTCTCCTTAGGCAACCGTGATGGTCTCTTAGACTTTACTTGATAATTTTGAGGAGCACTGATCAGATATATGTAGAACATCCCTCTATTGTTTTTTTCTGATATTTTTCTAATTGTTAGACTGGGATTATGAGTATTGGGGAGGTAGACCACAGAGGTAATACATTTTTACCATGTCATATCAAGGGTCCATAGTGTCCTCGTGACTTAACCACTGTTGATGTTAACATTCATCACCTGGATGAGACTATTTTTAGGGTTTCTCTGTTGTGAAGTTACTCTTTCCCTCTTTCCATTCTGTACTTGAAGGAAGGAAGTCATAGGTGCAGCTCCTATTTAAGGAGTGGGGAATTATCCCTCTGTGAGGCCAGGATATCTCTATAAATTATTTCAAATTCTTCTACACAGGACATTGCTCTATTCTCTGCCATTTTTTTCCCCAATCATTTTGTTAGTCATTTTTAATGATCTGAAGACAGTAATTCCATTAGGATATCTACTTTTGTCAAAAGCAAAGAATTAGAGGCTTCCTGATTTGCACAAGGATTTCTTACAGGTTTTTACCAAGTTATTACCACTTTCTCTGAAGTTTATACCAAAGAGTCCGTTCAAGACATATCAAATAACTTGATGATGCTGGTTAGTCATTCCTTTAGGTTACCTTGTTCAATGTAATACACTTAGAAAGGGTAGAGAAAATAGACATATTTTGGATTTCAATGTATCTTATCAGTACATTTTTTAGAAAAAAAGTCCCTTTTTAAATTCAAATAAATGTTGATATATACCTTACTTTGACAATAGCCTGCCTCTGAATGCCTATTCTTAGGTAGATGATACATAAGTAGGTAGATAGATAGATGGATAGACAGATAGATAGATAGATAGATAGATAGATAGATAGATAGATAGATAGATAGATAGATATTGATTAAAGAGAGATAGATAGGTAGATCTGGCATAAGCCTTGCCATAAGTTTATTGTCTGTGAGACAAGGAATCACTACACAGTCCCTATACTTTTTGCTTTGCTTTAATGGCACTGTCCTAAGGGGTGTCCTAAGGGGTGATGAATTTCTTAAACATAATCAGAGATGAAATTAGTTAATTTTAATGAAAGTGTAATTCTAGCAGCCACAGTCTATGTATATCTGATTTATTATATCTTACCACATACCAAAATACTCCTTTTTAAAATAGCAGTGTGCCCTTTTATCTTCATAAATTAATGACAAAAAAACAGTTGGCTCTTTTTTTATACAATTCTTTTTATCAAACTATTACTGATACACACTCTTATGAAGGTTTCACATGAAAAACAATATGGTTACTACATTCACCCATATTATCAATTCCCCCCCACTCCCATACCGCATTGCAGTCACTGTCCATCAGTGTAGTAAGATGCCACAGAGTCTCTACTTGTCTTCTCTGTGTTACAGTCTTCCCCATGATCCCCCCACACCATGTGTACTAATCATAATACCCTGCAATCTCTCTCCATCACCACCTGCCCTTCCCCACCTCTCCCCTTTGGTAACCATTAGTCGTCTTGCAGTTTGTGAGTCTGCTGCTGTTTTGTTCCTTCAGTTATGCTTTGTTGTTATACTCCACAAATTAGGGAAATAATTTGGTACTTGTCTTTCTCTGCCTGGTTTATTTCACTGAGCATAATACCCTCCAGTTCCATCCATCTTTTTGGAAATGGTAGGATTTTGTTTCTTTCTTATGGCTTGAATAGTATTCCATTGTGTATATGTACCACATCTTGTTTATCAATTCATTTACTGACGGACACTTAGGTTGCTTCCATTTCTTGACTATTGTAAATAGTGCTGCAATAAACATAGGGGTGCATATGTCTTTTTTAATCTGAGAACTTGTATTCTTTGGGTAAATTCCTAGAAGTGGAATTCCTGAGTCAAAATGGTATTTCTGTTTTTAGTTTTTTGAGGAACCTCCATACTGCTTTCCACAATGGTTAAACTATTTTACATTCCCACCAGCAGTGTAGGAGGGTTCCCCTTTCTCCGCATCCTTGCCAGCATTTGCTGTTCTAGTCTTTTCGATGCTGGTCATCCTAACTGGTGTGAGGTGATATCGCATTGTGGTTTTAATTTGCATTCCTCTGATAATTAGCATTGTAGAGCATCTCTTCATGTGCCTGTTGGCCAACTGAATCTCTTCTTTGGAGAAGTGTCTGTTCAGATCCTCCACCCATTTTTTAATCAGGTTATTTGCTTTTTGGGTGTTGAGGTGTGTGAGTTCTTTCTATTTGGATGTTAACCCTTTATTAGATACGTCGTTTACAAATATATTCTCCCATTCTGTAGGATGCCTTTTTCTTCTGCTGATGGTGTCCTTTGCTGTACAGAAGCTTTTAGCTTGATGTAGTCCCATGTGTTCATTTTTTTGCTTTTGTTTTCCTTGCCTGAAGAGATGCTTTCAGGAAAAAGTTGCTCATGTTTATATTCAGGAGATTTTTGACTATGTTTTCTTCTCAGAGTTTTATGGTTTCATGACTTACATACAGGTCTTTGATCCATTTCGAGTTTACTTTTGTGCTGGGGTTAGGCAGTAATCCCATTTCATTCTCTTGCATATAGCTGTCCAATTTTGTCAATACCAGTTGTTGAAGAGGCTGTTATTTCCCCATTGTATGTCCACGACTCCTTTATCATATATTAATTGACCATATATGCTTGGGTTTATATCAGGGTTCTCTAGTTTGTTCTGTTGGCTTATGGGTCTGTTCTTGTGCCAGTAACAAA